TAGAGGTCAGACGTCCCGGCAGCCCCGTAGACCTGCTCTGGTGTCATGGACCCCACTGTCAGAAGCTGTAGTTTCCCGCTTTTGTTGGTTACAAAGAAGTCATAGGGTCCATCAGCTGCCAGAAGAGGAAAGCTGGACCTCAACAGGCTAAAAAACTCTGCTTCCTGTAGGCCCGCGGGACACTGCAGCAGCTGAAACGGTAGGCTTTTCATCACTGAAACACAAAGGAAACGTCATTCAAGTGGCTGGAGCAAAACTGTCCAACAACACATACGCCTTACAGCTGAGGACATCCCAGGGACCAGAATCCCAAAGTCGTCAATATGCCACAACTGGTCTAGGGTGGTGCTGAAGCGCTCGTTTCCTGCTGACATCGGTTCTCCCAATGCTCTTCACCAGGCCAGCAACAGGTGTGCCGATGTCCAGGACAGGCGCGTAGATGTGGTAACAAGGACGTCCACGTATCGGGACGCTTCTTTAACCATGTAGCATCATTAAAGACTAGCGTTTGTGACGCTACAGCAAGCTGTTGTGTGCTAAGGGGAACAAAATGGATTCAAGCCCCCGCTAGCTGATTCTACTCGCCAATCGGAGGCAGTAGGCGAGAATTTCAGCTAAACAGTCTCTAATGTGTGGGCGGGGCCACATTAGGAGACAGGAAAACGAAACAATGACCGAGATCTGAACAAAACGTACTCTTTCGGGTCTGGTTCGTGCCTCCCCAAAGTGAAAGTGGCTTATATGTAAACGGCTCAAAGGGTCACTAAGCTCTGCAATTTGAGCAGTGCTGATGCTGAACAGGGGGTGGGGGTGTCTGTGCAGAGGAGGCATCGTCTGCAGACCCGTTGGCCCTGTAGGCAACCTGCAGCAGGCCAGTAGAGGGTCTGTGACATGAAAACTGGAGACAGCTGCTCAGCACAGTCAGTGCAGGTATATCCAAGTCAGGCTATAATAATAATCAAGCTAATACCACCCCCAGACTTGGAGCTATTATACTAGTTTGCGTAAAACAGTAGGTGGCATTACGCCCCCTTTCATGTTGGTATTCTCCAGGTTAGCTTATAGCAGCACGTGTGGTAAACAAAGTAAAACAGGATGTGAACAATGGTCAAATTGTAAGTCAAACTTAAACAGAGACCTGTAGTTGTGACATCATCAGAAGACCGCTTCCATGGTCCCGTCCCTTCTAGGAGGGACAGTGCCCAGGCCCCAGAGCTCGGCTAAGGGGGAACATTGTTTCTATCCAGAATGCGTTATCTGGGTATCTAAGCTCGACTAGGAGCAGGGGTCTCATTTATCAAACATTGGTAGAATCCTTACTAAAACCGTACTGAAGGTCAGCAAAAAATGTACTTACGCCAAGTAGGTTTGTGATCTATCAAACATGGAGTACGCACAGCTTAGGGCTGGGCGATATGACGATTTTAGACCGTTTTACGATCTACACATCTGACGGTCTGTCATTTTTGAGAGACCTTTTTATCACGATTCACAGCTCTGCTGTTGAATTTCTGCCTCTGAATGAAAATGGAACTTACCCCAGGCGAATGACACGCCTTTGTTTGACCCTTAACCAATCAGAGTGAGTCATAGTAATATATCAGTGCCCCGCTTGTTTTCATTTGTGTGTGAACAAACATGGCTTCGCCGCGGCTGAGCGACACGTTCCGAAGAGGAACGCAGGGTTTCCTTAGCGCGCGGCGCTAACAACTTAGTGACGTGACATGTCTTGGAGAAAGCGTAAAAACACGTTGGACGCTTCTTCTGAAGCAGGAAAATAACACCGCTTCTTAAGCAGAGCACGACGTCACCTCGGCTAGTTCACCCTCTGCCGAGCCGGTGTCGGTACCGGACTGAGCTCGGTCACTGGGTCGTTGGAGCTGCCCCGTGACTGCCTGATGGAAAACCAGCGGGTTTCATCAGACTCGTAGTTTCTTGTTTTTGCTGGGGACCCCCTGTATTTTACCGCTCCCTCCTGCAGTCTTCCCCTATTAACATTTAAAATGATTCTGTAAACTCCGTGTATCAATAGAAACAATCTCTGCCTCTGCCAGCTGCAGTAAATGTAGTCTCCAAATAATAAATAAGAGGTGCATTCATCTGAGTATCTCCTTTGATCCGCATTAGTGATATTCTCAGCACCAGAACAGTGAAGCAAAGAAAGATTCCTGAGTTTGTTAGTAATTTTATTTATTAGGTGCATCTAACCTGTTCTATTTTTCTCTGAAATGAGATCAAATCAGTGCTTCTATGGGTTGTCTCCACTCTGCACTGGAAAATTTTTTACTTTATTTAGAGACTTGTTGCAGAAAATATTCAGAATGCGCAGTTATTTGCTACCACAAGCGATCTCTGGTCCAGCCGCACATCAGAGCCGTATTTGAGCTTAACTATCCACTACATGAGCAACTGGGAGCTACATAGTATTTTGAACAAGTTAATGTTTGCACAATACGTTTGCAATTGACATGTTTGCACTTTAAATATGTTTACGATTTTAATTTATGTTAAGTTACTTGAAAAACGAGAAAAACTGATTTTTGTAATTGTTTCTCTCAGGGCTTTTATCATCTCTGGTGTGAGTTTAAAATATAAGTGTGTTAGCCCTGTGCTGATTATCCCTAATATGAATAAATGTTTATTTATTCAATGTTTCTCTTCTTTAATACGCAATTGAAGTTATGCTATTCATGGATAAAAAATCGTGATGAAATCGAAATCGTGATAAAATATTGGAAAAATCGTGATATTCTATTTTTGCCATATCGCCCAGCCCTAGCACAGCTGCACGCAATCTCCACTTCATAAATCAGAGACTAACGAGAATGATTCTCAGCTGCATTTTAGTCACATCCCGCCCTCACCACGCCCACTTACTGCCATAAATAGTCAATGCAAAGTGCCTTGTGGATCTCGTGCATATACATAAGCCGGCTGTTGCAGCGCTCCGCCAATGACGATGGCGACCGTAGATCAAGGCAGATCAAGGAAGCTCAATTTCACAGAAGCAGAAATTGAGGTACCTGTGGGTGAGGTGGAAAACCAAAAGGAAGTGCTTTTGCAAAACAAATAATGAAAATCCATGGAGTGACACAGCGCTGCTCAAGCCGTCAAAGTTGTGAGTAGAGCTGAAACAACTAATCGATTTAATCGATTATAATCGATTATTAAAATAGTTAACAACTTTTTTAGTCATCAATTAGTTGTTTAATAATCATATTTTACCGCATAAAGTCTATTTTTTTGCCGCTAGTGTGTGGCAGTAATGAGCCACTGATCTACCAGTGGAGCCGTAGAAGAAGAAACGAGCCAGTAAGTGCCCTCGGTTTTCACGACGTAACACGTTACTGACGCGCATCTTGCTGTGAGAGATGGCAGAACAAGAAGAAATACGGAAGAAAAATAGAAGCGACAAAACAAGAGAAACCTCATGAGTATGGGAGCACTTCACTCTAGATGCCATGAAAAGACGTATGACCTGCAAAATATGAAAAAACCATCTAGCATGGCACAGAAGCACGACGTCCCTAAGTGAACATTTGAGACGAAAACATGTGCGGGCTGATGCAGCAGAGGAAAGTCCGGTAAATCCGGTAAGTAACAGAAAATAAACAAGCTAACGCAGATCAAATTTGGGAGCTGAGTTCATTATAGTGAATGTTAAACATGTTTTTTTGCCGCGTCAGTCTACCGTGTTCTACTTCTGATTGACTAGATGCAATCGTGAATCTCCTCCGTGTTGTGTATCATGCGCTTGCCAAATTTAGTACGTCTGTTTATAAGAATGTTCTCGTTAACAGAAAAACGGCACAAACCCATAACTATGTTCCTCATTCAAAAAAGGACAACTCCGCGGAGAAAAATATACAGACGAGCTGTGTCCAGGTGAATATAACGCGGCATAGTTGTACGCTTTCAATTTTTAAATACAGGAGAAATTCAGAAAGTCATTTTTTTTTTACTATTAAAAGGCTGTTTTACTAACGCTTTAAAACGCCTCACAACACATTTTTGTCAAAATAAATGACCACTGTATATTGTTAATTAATTCAAATAATGTAATATTGATTTAGTGTTGTAGTGTGTGTGCTGCTTTATTTTATATGTGTACTTATTTCAGTTTATTTGTGTTTCTTATGCAGAAAAAAACAAGTAGCGATGGACAACTACATGGGGAACAAGACACTCACCCCCCAGCAATGCATACCACTTACAAACTCTATTCTAGATTCTGCATTATTTTTTATGGAATTTACCTCTTATATTTTGATGCCAAAAAATTATTCTGGACTGATCTTTTGCACTGTTTAGCTCATTTTACACCGCTGACTGTGTTCATGTGCAATAAAATAGATTGCAGTCAACTGCACGATTCTCTTATGTTTTTCTTTTTCATAACTGAAATGTATTCATCTCTTGTATAGGTTAAATAGCTAAACAATAACAAACCGATTAATTGATTAATCGAAAAAAATAATCGACAGATTAATCGATTATGAAAATAATCGTTAGTTGCAGCCCTAGTTGTGAGTTCGTCAGAGAGATCTGTGGCGAATATAAAATATGGTCAGATTAGGATTCGATCCACAGACTCCCGAGTGAAAGTCGCGCATGCTAACCAGTGTGTGTGTGTGTTTGTGTGTGTGTGTGGGGGGGGGGGGTCTTGCTCTGTGTGAAAACGAAGCGGTACAAGTGATAATGCTGCAGGATTTCATAATTGTATCTACTCAGCAGCAGCACTGCAGGTGCTCTCCATGTCCAACATGTGTGTAAGCCAGGTCCTTAGTCAGCTTAAAGTTGCGCACATTTTTCTACTACGTTTTCTTTCATAAATCCCAAAGTTTGCGTGGAAAGTTGCTTACGCAGTTTTCAGACCCCATTTTGTGCGTAAGCAAGCTTGATGAATGAGGCCCCAGGTCAGCTAGCTTCAACTTCAGCCAGAACAAGGTGTAAACAGGCATGTGAAGCGTTTGACTTCAGGCAGTGATTTGGTCCTCTGACGCTCCATGTAAATGCACTGATTGTTTCAGAGGGGCAAATAGTCTAGCTCCCCAGCGGGGTGCTGTGCGTGACAACGGGTGGAGGGAGCAACAGATCTTTGATGTGGCAGGGGTGGTGGAGTTGAGTTGAGGGGTTCTTTGATCTTCTGATCAGTGTTAAGGGAGGAGACAGATTGAGAGGAAGTAGAAGTCATCCAGGCTGCTGGCTCGGTGTTTTAGGGTGGGTGTGTAAAGCCTGCCGCACACGAGAGCAATCTGCTGAGCAAACGGCCTCGAATGGCACATACATACACACGGCACTGAATGCACACGCGAGTAGCGAATGTAACTTTACTTTCTCTTAAGCCATGGCGGACAACGTGGACCCCGGTGGAGTGCGAAAAAGACAGAGAATGTCAAAGGTGTGGGACCATTTTTCACGCCGTAAGGCGGAAAACGTAGTCCAGTATAAATACTGTAAAATGGATTTAGCCTACCACAACACCACATCCTCCGTGCTGCCGCACATGACCAGGAAACATCCACATGTAAATGTCTCTTCTGCAAGCGGACTCGGAGGTCCGCTATATATTCTGCAGACACTGTGTGACTTTTTCGTTTGTAGCACTCAGTTTCAGCTCACACCGTACATCTGGTAGCAACACGTCGGATCTAAAAATGTGCTAAAAATAGCAGTTTTTACACGACACGACGGACTTTTTACCGTGTTGTTATTGATATTTGTTGTCCCTCGGGGTTTCTGCAGGAGGACACGGGTGTTTATGAGTGACGGAGGAAAACGAAAGAAAGTAAATAAATGTTTTGTGATCAGTATAATTTGATAAAACCACGGCAAACATGCTTTCTCAGCAATCCTTGTTATTGTGTGAGAAAAAAAAAAGTGTAGAAATTAAAACAGACGTGTGTTAATAGGGAAACAGCCGGCGAGCCATGTTTGCGCATGCGCCGTGAGCAGTTCTGGTTCTGTTTGGGCCGCAGCCGCTCGCAGCGCTACTTCAACAGTTATCCTCCTAGTTTTTGTCTGGCTTGCAGGCTAGCAGATTCTCGCACGAGGGGAAAATCGGCTCAGGTTGAATACTTATGTTTTGCACAGATATTTGTTTACTGTGAAGTAAAGTTAAAGTGCTGAAGTTTTGAAAACTAATTTTGAATAAAACTTGAAGAATAACTGGCAATTGCTTGCTCATTTTGAGAGGTCTTTCATGTTTTATAACATGCTATTTGATATAATGGTTTACAAACACAAAAGGGTAATTTATTAGAGTACTCGATTAATCGATAAGACTCGATAAAGTACTCGATTACAAAAATATTTGATAGCAGCAGCCCTAATCACCATGATTTCATCCGGGTTCATTTTCACCAATAGATGCTTCTTATTTTATTTTAAAAACATGTCGGACCCAACATGCCACCGCCAAAAGCTCTTCACTCACAACAGTCCTTAGGACAAAGTCAAAGAACAACACATTTCCTCAGACCTGCTCTGCAGACGCTGACAAACCTTATGAAATACTGAAAACCTATCAAACACGCCCGAGTCTTCTCTTCCACGTAGAGGATTAAACCTGTTATGGGTCCTTATATTAGCCTTTAATGTCTTCAGAGCAGCTCTGCAGTCAAATATCTACGCATCGATTATTGGATTGAGTTCCTCAGCTCTTACTTTTCTTTGAAATGGTCTCGATCTTCCAGTCGTTTAGGAAGCAGATCCTGAGATCTATGGGACTGTCCAAGCTTCTGACCACATCAGTCTGACATGTTGGAGTCGAGAACCTACAACAACAAAGATCATCGTCAATTCATAGCAGAATAAATAAGACTTACAAAGGAGACATCCATCGATGAGAATGTTTCTTTCACCTTGAATCCATGTCGTAATCCTGCTCCGTGACACTTTGACTCTCCACTCCCTCGAAGTTTGTGTGGATTTCCTCCTTCACAGCATACTTGGTGTTGAAGAAGCTCCCAAAGCTCTGGGTGATCTCCATGTTGTCTAGAAGACAATAACACCACTAAGATGGCCTCATTATGTGACAGAAACAACATGTGATGTCTGTGACAAGGTCTGGTGTACCACAGGGTCCTACTCTAGGCCCGGTGATGAGTTGGGAAACCATCTCTCAGGATAAAACCAATATGTTTTTAGCAAAAACGATTTACTGTAAATTACCTAATTAAACAATCTATACCCCCTAGGCTGGAGGCAAGCAGCGTTGGGACAGGGACCTCACGAGAACCAACACAAACCTCCAGGTGATGGGCAGCACTGGAAACGCTGAAGGCCGCATTGTTAGAATAAAGGTCCTGCGTTAGGTGTGAGGATGGAGAACACCACCGCTGATGGTAACAGAGCCCTACGATGGCACTGGGGTCTTCTGAGATCTGTGGGACTCGATCAAGTCTGACAGAAAATAAAACTGCGAGTTCACAGATGATGGGTCAGACGGTGTTGGTGATATCGTGACTGGAGTGTGGGCGCTGTTGGACTGTCTGGGCTTGTGTGACTTTTAGGTTTTTTCTTTTACATGTACTTTTTCACCTTTGTTTACTTTACCTGAGTGTGAACCTTTGTTTACTAATACCTGAGAGAAAGTGGAAAAAGGATGGCGTACAGGTCTCGCGTGAGTTGTTCAGAGCCTCTCTGGTTGCTTACCAGGATGCTGTGAGGGCTGCCAGAACGGCCTATTTTGCAGACATCATTGAAACCAATTCTAAGAATCCAAGATTCTCAACAAAACACTGAACACTGTTCTGGTGTATCAGGAGCCTAGCTTCATGTCTCCTACAGCTGCTGGAAACTCTGGAGATTTTCACAAATTCGTTGTTCACAAAGTATCAGGCATTAGAGCAGCTATTTCTGGTAACTCTGTTGCCCCTGTTCCAGTTCCTCCATCACCACCCACCCTGAGCTCCCTCAATGCTGTTTCATACTCTGAGCTGAGTAAGCTTGTTGCGAGGCAGAAGCCATCTGGCTCTCCACTTGACGTTCTGCCGCCTCGTCTCTGGAAGGCTGCCTTTCCGTGTCTTGGCCCATCACTTGCTCAGATTATCAATGGGAGCCTCAGCACAGGTGTGGTCCCAGCTGCTTTGAAAGCAGCAGTTATTCGGCCGACCCTGAAGAAACCTGGTGCTGATGTCTCTGTGATAGAAAATTACAGGCCTATCTCTACCCTGCCTTTTACATCGAAGCTGCTTGAGAAAGTCGTTTATCAGCAGCTGGTCTCACATTTAGCTGACTCTGATCTGTTTGAGGTTTTCCAATCAGGGTTCAGGTCTGGCCATAGCACAGAGTCTGCTCTACTGAGGGTCCTAAATGACATCTATCTATCACTAGATCAGGGTACACCTGTGCTGCTTCTGTTGTTAGATCTGACAGCAGCCTTCGACACAGTTGACCACGCGATTCTACTCGATCGCTTGGAACGATGGGTTGGGATCAAAGGGTCAGCTCTGGATTGGTTTAGATCGTATCTCCACAACAGGACATTCTGTGTTAAACTGGGTGATGTTTTTTCTTCTTGGGAGGGGCTCCGCTGGGGGGTCCCGCAGGGATCTATCCTTGGTCCTCTTTTGTTTGCCATTTATCTGCTTCCTCTGGGGTCAATCTTTCGTAAACATGGCCTATCATTCCATCTGTATGCTGACGATTGCCAGATTTACTCTCCATTGTGTCAGGAGAAAGGTCACTCTATCCAGTCCTTTGTCTCCTGTGTTAACGAGGTGAAGTCTTGGCTAATGGCCAACTATCTACATCTGAATGAGGGAAAGACAGAGCTCACTGTTTTTCACCCCAACAGCAGGAATGTGGATCGTTATGCTGATCTTGGCCCTCTTTCTCCCTACTCAAAACCAGTTGTTACCAGTTTGGGGGTGAAACTTGATGTAGGACTTAAATTTGATGCTCACGTCAATTCTGTGATCCGGTCCAGTTTCTTTCACCTGAGACGCCTTGCAAAAATCAAGCATATGCTGTCGAGAGCCCACCTGGAGCGGGTACTGCATGCCTTTGTAATTTCTAGGCTTGACTACTGCAGCTCTCTATATGCAGGGTTGTGTCAGTCATCACTGCGTCGCCTACAGGTTGTGCAGAACAGCGCAGCCAGGTTCCTGACTGGGACCACATCAGTCTGGTTCTGGCCTCCCTGCACTGGCTTCCGGTTTGCTATCGCTCACAATTCAAAATCCTCGTCTTTGTTTATCATTTCCTCCAGGGTGGTGGTCCCCCTTATCTAGCCACACTCCTGAACAGACACTCCCCATCACGCGCTCTGCGTTCCTCTGAACAAGGCCTGCTCGCTGTCCCTCGTTCTAGGTGTCGTACTCGCGGTGACCGGGCTTTCTCAGTCCTAGCACCGTCACTCTGGAACCAGTTGCCACCCTCAGTCAGGCTGTCCCCATCTCTGCCAGCCTTTAAGAGTCACCTAAAAACACACCTCCTCCGCTTGGCGTTTCCTGAATATGTTTGATTCGGTCCTCTTTTATCTTGAATTTCTTTGACAGTTTTCATTGGTTCACTCTATCCCTTGTTTTACCCATCTGTCCTGTACTAGAATGTTTCACCTTTTTTTGTAATTTGTATTTTGTAATTTGAATAGCTTTTATTTCTGAATTGCTTTTATTTCTGATTTATTCACTATAATTGTACTTCTACTGTACCATGTTCAGCGCCTTGGGCTTCCTGACAGGGTTGCGGAAGGCGCTTTATAAATAAAGCTTTGATTGATTGACAACCTGAACTACAATAGCATCTGGATTCCCTTGTGTGTCCTGGTCTGTACCGCTGTGGGACGAGCTTCTGGCGTGGTGGTCTCTCTGCTGTTTTATTAAAAATGTCTACTGTATCAAGTCAAGATGTTTCCAACTAAACATTAGAGAAGCTGCACCAACGTGGTCTGCGTCACGACTTCTGTGCTTTTTATAAAGTTCTGATTCAAACTTTTCTGTTTTTAATTTAAAGAATTACATCCAGAGAGCATGTTTGATCCCACCTTTTGGCTCCTCTTTGACCCGAGGCTGCAAGAGCTCCAGCTGGACCTTCTGCCGTTGGATCTCCTCCCTGAAGCCCGACGCCTCCGCCTCGTAGTCGCTAATGACCTTCTCCACGGCCGCTAGGATGTCCCGCGCGGCCGTGGTCAGCTTCTCGGTGATGATTCCTCTCATGAGGTCGGTCCTAGAAACGTTCTCAGCCCAGACGGAAGAGACGAGCTCCATGGTGATGTCTGTGTAGCTCCAGTTTAGCTGCTTAGCTTAGCACCAAAACAGGCGCGAGCCGGAAGTGAACACGTGACCCGCGGAAGAAAACGGCAAAGCCACGACGACGACGACGGAAAGCGTTACAGCGTTGCCGCCATTTTGAATAGGTCTCTTCACTCTCCAAACCCAACAGGAGCCAACAGGGTGAGCAAATATGCCCGTTTTTTTAGAGCCTACGGTTCAAACACCGGTGTTGTAGCACTGTAGTTATCCCCACTAGATTTTGTTTCCCCTGCGTCACGCGCCGGTGTTATGTCAATTTGAGTTCCCTCTTACAAAAAAATAACCCTAACCCTTACGCTAACCATAACCACACAATTTTAATGTATGAAATTACTCTGTGTGGGACGACTTTTATGTTTGTTAAAGGGTTATGGTTAGGGCAAGGGTACCAAGCCGTTTCACCCTCATCCACTAGGGGCTGGCACCAGAAGTGAGCAAGTCCTCATGGACTCTCATGTTAAATATATTCATGTCACAGCAGAAATAAACGTCTTTACAGCCTTTTTCAAAAATCATTTTAGGTTTAATAGATCTAGTTTACATCCATGATAACTCTGAGGGGGTGGATGTTTTTGTAACTCTTCTGTTTAAGTGTAATTTCATGTCTCTTCGGGTGCTGTCCTATGACTGTCGTGGCCTGCGTCTGGGCCAGGATGCAGGGGATAGAGCTCGACGTATTGTTGTAGACAGTTTGCTTGAAGAATGTGAAATATTGTGTTTACAAGAGACTTTTCTGCCTAAACAAGACCTAAACAAACTTAACTACCTCAATCCTAAATTTTTCGGAGTGGGGGAATCAACTACTGATCTCAGCACAGCTATAGTCAGAGGCAGAATATCAGGAGCAGTGGCTGTGCTTTGGAACAAAACAATTGAAGCTGTAATTAAGCCAATTAGACTGGATGTAGACTGGTGTATTGGCATATCCTGAATAACATAAGTTTTGTTATCCTTAATATTTATACTCCATACGAAGCTGCTGGAAATGAAGGGGAATATCTTGGGTTGGCAATTATTAATGCATTTATTCAAAGCCACAGTACTTATAGTATATATGTTGTGGGCGACTTTAATGCTGATCTCTCAGATGAAAAATCTCAGTTTGCTAAACACTTAACACAGTTGTGTGAAGACAATGATCTTATTCTATCTAGCAAAGTGTTGTTGCCAAAAGACAGTTACACATATATTAGTGAGGCTTGGCATACTACATCATGGCTGGATCATTGTATTAGTACACCTGATGGACATGCAGCTTTGGATAGCATGACTATAAAGTATGGGGTAGCTGTGTCAGACCATATACCTCTTGCTTTCTCTATAAATCTGGAACAGCTGCCTGATACAATGGGAGTTAATTATGTCAGTAATGATAATAATATAAAATTAGAATGGGCAGCATTTAGTGACAAAGACATGTTGTCTTATAGTAATAATACAGATTAATATCCAATCAATATCTCTGTGGCTAAAGAGGCTATCCTGTGTAAAGATGTCAATTGTAAGAATCTCAAACATAAAAGTGATCTATGCTCTATTGAAAATATATGTATCTCTCATATATGCTCTTTTATACATTATGGAATCCTGTTATAATATCAAGTGCCTCTCAGTATTTTTCTGCACAAGCTCTGAACAGCTGCATATTTTCTCCTGCACAAAAAGGGAGTGAAAACATTCCATCTCTTCTTAGTTCCTCTCGGTACCAGCGTGTGTCTTTGTTATCAAGGATGTTCCTGCTTATCTTAGAATTACATGTCCTTGTGATGTATTAGTTCCTGACTAACAAGGCAATTAGCTCCTGCTTATCAAGACTAATGACGTGTGCAAATGGCAAACTGCGTATGTTACATTCCATTATTTCTCAATATAAATACAGCTGTATGGTCAGAGAGCTTCAGAACACGGGGTGCAGCAGTAAGAGCTGGATGCGGATTCAGCTAAAGAGCTGCGTGTTCTCCCCTCTGCAGCGGCGAAAAACAGATCGATCTTTCTGATTATTTGTCTCCACTCTCTACCAATGATAGGTTTTTCTCTCCATTTACTCCGAACCTGTCTGGTCTCATAGAAGAAAAGACCAACACTATGTATTCTGTATGAAAGTGGTAGACCATTTCATGTCAAAGGTAAGAATAAGCAGAAACCTCATATCAGGCCTGGCTGGAAAGAACATGTTGCCATGTATCAGGATGAAGCGCGGGTAGCTTTTAAATGTTGGGATATGGTCGGGAGACCTAGGCAGGGTATGGAATGTGAACAGAAAAAACGTGCAAATGCCAGATATAAGTACGCTGTTCGTTTTATATCAGAAAATGAGCAGATCATGAGAGCAGATTCTATGGCCAGGAAATTTATGAGTAATGATGTCAATGGTTTTTGGAAAGATGTGAAAACAATTAATAATTGCAAATCATCTCTGCCAGGTACTGTTGAAGGTGTTTCTGGGGAAGATAATATTGCAGCATTATGGAGACAACATTATTATGCATTGTTCAGTTGTTTAAAAGGTGATGGGTGTGAGGATGGCTCTGTTATTAACGATGAATCTATATGTTTAACGACCCATGAGGTGCATGAAGCTGGCTGATAATAAGGCTTGTGGTCTGGATCACATTAGTGCAGCACATTTGAAATGTGCTAGCCAAAGACTAGCTCCCCTTTTAGCTCTTTCTTTTACAAGGTTTATGATTCATGGCATACTACCAGACTCGATGGCAATTCTGCTTGTTCCAGTCATTAAGAACAAATCTGGGAAGGTGACCAGTGTGGATAATTATGGGCCGATTGCACTAGCCGCTAGCCGGTGTTTTGTCTAAAGTTTTGGAAGGAATCCTGTTTGATAGAATCACTGTGTACCTCAGTTCCTTGGATGATCAGTTTGGCTTTAAGCCAAAACATGGTACTGACATGTGTACATACGCACTTAAAGAAATGGTCAACTGGTATAGAAAAAGAAATTCTTCTGTCCTTATGTGTTTTATTGAAGGCGGTCCCCGATTCGCGGCGCTTCGTCGGCCAGTGTGTCCCCGGTGTAAAAGGCTTCTGATCGTGTAAACCACAGAAAACTTTTTATTACGTTAAAGCAACGGGGGGTCCCTGGGTTTATTGTGAGAATCCAGGCAGGGTGGAATTTTGTCTCCTGTTTTATTTAATTTGTATGGTGATGATCTGTCAGTGCAGCTGAGAGCCTGTAACACAGGGTGTTTGGTTGGTAAACTCTGATCAACCATCTGATGTATGCTGATGACCTGGTGGTCTTCAGTCCAAGTAGTGCTGGTTTACAGCAGCTCCTAAATATCTGCTCTGAATATGGTGTACAGTATGATGTCCAGTATAATGCTGTTAAAAGTGCTATCTTGATATGTAGAACCAAGCAGGATAAAAAGCTAAACTTTCCTGTGTTCAAACTGTCTGATAATGATCTTAATGTGTGTGAGAAGGTGAAATACCTTGGCCACTTTATAACTGATCAAATGCGTGATGCTGCTGACATCCATAGACCGGGCTGTAAGCTGCATGCACAAGCTAACACTATAGCACGTAGGGGCTGCAGGACTTAATTTTTTTAAAAGTCGACTGTCAAGTAATGAAAATCGAGTCGACTTTGACTAGTCGTTGATGACGTCATACACCTGAAGCGGCGGCGGGGGGGGGGGGGGGGGGGGGGGGGGTTGGGTTCGGTTGGTTCGCTTTGGTTGTTTTTTTGACAATTAAAATTGCGCCCACATTTTCAAAGTTAAACACATTTCTTTTAACAACGGTAGTTCCTGCTTCAGCCCTCTCCCCCCTCCCCCTGCGCAGCGGCCGCAAACTCAGTGATGCCAATCGCTGTCCTGAAGACCCGGAGACCGCAGATTCAGGCCGACTGCAGATTCAGGCTTGTACTGGATTTGAGACAGCGACCTCTAAAGGACTAACGTGTAACTGCAACTGCAGATTCAAGACTAACTGCAGATTCAAAGCTGCAGACTTGGACACCGCAGATTCACGCCAGCTGCAGATTCAAGCTTCTACTGTTTAACAGTTACATATAAAAATGTGTAATTGTTGGTGAAGCTTATTAAAAATAGTTTATTCGTTGTTAAAGCTTCAGTGAAGTAGTTATCAGAATAAAAATTAGAAAACTTCTGAGTAACTTTTAATAACAAAAGTTTTTAATCATATTTATTTAATTGAAAATGTTTGTAGAAACAAACAAAAAAAACTTTCCAATTTTCCTGGTTCTTGACATCCTTAGATCAACCACTTCAAAACACCTTGATGGACCAAAACACACATACTACGTAGCAGCTCTGGCTGTAGGTTATATAAGCACCGCGGTCTCAACCGGTCTCAGCCAGCCTTGTAGCAGCAGTCGAGGCTCAGATTAGCCGCAAGTGAGTTGTGCTGTAGTTAGCATTAGCATTGAGTCAGAGTTATGGCGTCAGATGGGTGCCAAAATACACATTTATGGGTCCACACCGCGCATGCGAACAGGACTCGCGCTTGGAAGTTAGAACCTCTCGAGTGAAAATATACATGGCGAGAGGTTATTTGTATACTGAGAGGGAGCAAACTGTGTCTGTGAGCTCACAAGGATGTGCACAAGTGACAAACTTGCGTGCGCGCGTTGGCCAACGAGCACACGGCAGAGGAAAACATACGTGTGGCAGCCTTTCTGCACGCTGGTTTCTGATTCTGCTCGCTCGGCTGTGGGGAGTTTTGGCACTCTGGAGGCGTGGCCTGTTGCTGATCTTTTCTGTCCTCTGATTGGCAAGTTTTTTTCCGCTCCTTACCTTCTACCTCATTGGCCCACTGGTTTCCTCTTGGAGCACAATGGGAATAGCTAAAGAACAAATCTGATTCAACCTTTAGTAAGTGCTGTCATGGCTCAGCTGGTAGAGGCGATGACTTTCACTCTGATGTAGACACCATGAGGCAGGCATGCGTTAATATTCTATAAGAGCACATGAGGTGAGCAACACCACAGATTATTATTATTACTGTACACTGTCCTGAATTTTTCTTTCTGCATTTCATCATTAGCCTGGCTGATCACCTGATAACTCATGTCATCTGGTTATGACCGCATGAGGATGTCCTCACACACCTGTAACCTATCAGCTCATCTGGCAGAATAGAGAGAGAAGAGACAACACCACATCTCCTCTTCCTGGAAAGCCTTCAGCCATCCTTCGATGACTGAGAACCTCCATCAGCTCTGTCTCCTGTCTGCCTACAATTATTATAATAAATATTGTGTTTGACAAGTTATTTGTGCTGCCAAATGTCTCATTTTGATTCCAGTTTTTATATTTTAATGGATATTTATAAATTACATTAATTGAATTATCCCATTGTTGCACGTTTAACTAGCTCTATTGTGATGAATTAAATTTGCACCTCACTGTTAAAAGCTCATTTTGAACTCGTGTTTAAATATAGACATGAACAAAAACAGGAAATATATAAGTTGTGATTTATTTAATTAATATAACAAATAACTGTTTAGAGGGGGAAGGAATCATTCAATGGCACATTCTTCTGGAAGCTCCTGATCCTGACGACACCACCAGAGGAGACCAGCTGCAGACACCAGAGGATCACCTACGACCAAGAGAGCAGCTGGTATCAGTAAATAATGAAATCAGGGCAATTTTAGGTGGATGTTTGTGATTGTGTAACAAAAATGAAGACATGACAGAATAATTTTCTCATGGGGTATTTTTATAACTTTTTCTGCAGCAGAAAGTAACTTCAGCCCAAGGTAGGTGGCCGTGTCCTAGAGAGCTAGTATCCAGCACGTTTCAGTGGTTTTCCTGCTTTAACATGTTAGATTAGCTGTTCAGTTATTTGCTGCTTACTAAAATCAGGTGTGTTGAAGCAGATAAGCCTCTAAAACATGATTGATAACAGCTCTCCAAGGCTGTGGAACCAAACCCTGCAGCTAATCTAATGCTATGGCTAACGGCTACCAAGAACTGGTTCTGTTGGGTCGGTTCCAGTAGTTTCAAGCAACTCACAAGCTCAAAACAATAAGGCTCAGGTCCGCTTGTCTCCTCCAAATAGACTTGGTCCCTTTCTTCTCCCTTGTCTGGGTAAGGAGGGGGAGAAACGTCCTCCGCTTCTAATGACTGCTCAGAGTGAAGGGAGCTAGCTTGGTCTGGTTAAGCCGGCGTACACTGTGCGACTTTTTCACTTTTTTGAGCCGATTTTCCACTCGTGCGAGAATCCACGAGATCGGGGCGAGTTTTGCGCCGAGCGTCGTGTAGTGTACAGGGGGTTACGAGAGACGATTAACACCACGTGACCAGCTACCGATCAGCAGTCGTGAGGTCGCACGGACTTCTGGCGTGTTTAATATTTTGCCCGTCCCTCGTGAGGGTATCGCACTGTTGAAGCGGCGCTGCGAGCAGCTGCGACCCAAAATGTATCAGAACCGCTCACGGCGCATGCGCAATCATGCATCAACACCGCTCGCCCGCTATTTCCCTAATAACACACGCTGTTCGTTTTAATTTCTACACGTTTTTTTACTCACAAAGATTGTCAAGAAAGCGTGTTTGTCGTGTTCATGTCAAATTAAACTGATCACAAAACACAGATTTACTTTCTTTATTTTGTTTTCCTCATCCAACCCCCATATATCCATGTGTGTCCTCCTGCAGCACTCCCGAAGGACAACAGGCGAAACAAGACCAAAAAGTCTGACGTGTTGAGTAAAAACTGCTATTTTTTTAGCATATTTTAGGTCCGACGTGTTGCTACCAGACGTACAGTGTGAGCAGTCAGATTGCATCCGAGAACTGGGCCGTGCAGTATGAGAGCATGACTCGTGAGATCTGCCCTGCGAGGAAGTCGTACAGTTTGAGCTGAAGCTGAGTGCTACGAGTGAAAATGCTGCAGTGTACGCCCGGCTTTACCCATCCGTGTTCGTCACTGCCGCGCTGCCCTCTCGGTCCGCCAGGCCACGCCTACCAATGTTGCAGTTTTCAAAATTGATATGTGGATGGAGAACAGTGTTGCCAGATGTACGATAATTATCGTATTTGTACCATAATTTTTGGCTCTGTACGATGTACGATCAATAGTTTCAAAAATCCTCAAATGTACGATAATTTCACATTGCATCTAGTATCACCGTCGTTTGCTGTGGCTTTCCCAAGTCAATTACATAATTTTAAACTGTTCTGAAGTCAGATTTCACCTCAGTGCTTACAGGTTTATGCTATTGTGTCTATTACAAAAACTGACTCTGGGTCTGTACAATAAATAGCCCAATCACATCGATAGGGCCTACTCTAGCGAGAAACTGTAATGTTATATAATGTGGCAGTGGCCCGCCAGTTTTTGCTGTTTGCCCGCGAGCGCGCCGAGTTAGGTCTAAGCTAGGAGGACAGAGCGATGAGACAATGGCTTCTAATCTTAAAAGAAAAACCAGAGAAGGGACGGATGAAGGTAAAGCAAAGCAACACCGGACACAAGTTTATCGTCCTGTGTGGGAGTTGGACCCTATTTTCAAAGGATGGCTTGCACCTGTTACAGGGAACGAAACCAAGGCTTTCTGTCATTGCTGCAACATCCAGATGGTATCAGAGATCACCGTTCTCAAGAATCACGCAAAGGGAGCTAAACACAAAGAACGGGTAAAATGCATTGCGCCAAACCAGACATCTATACTTAAATGTCTCCAGCAAACTAATGAAAAAGAGAAGTTTGAAAATTATGTGAAAAATGCTGAAATCAAGCTATGTGGCTTTTTAGCCGAGCACAACATTGCAATGAGAAGCACAGACCACGTAGTACAGGTGATTAAAGGCATTCTGCTGCGACAGACAGTGAATCAAATGGAGATCGAGATCAGCAATTAGGTGAGTAGGCTGCTTTGTCATTTATTGGGTCAGTTTTTCCACTGCTGTGATGTTTTGTCGCGTGCGTTTAACCTATGTAGAAATGACGTAAATAGGACAGAGTGGTGCCAACACACTCTGCATGTTTATAGGCATTATATTACTGGTTTTAAAGATGTTTATTAAACAGGGCAATATAAAACACCTTCTTTGTTATATTATATTGGAGTGAGAAGTTGTTTATAGAACGTTATTATCAAATTTATAATGTACGATAATTTGTACTGAAAAACGATAATTTAGGCCTCTCTGTACGATATTGTGGGATTTTGGATCTGGCAACACTGGTGGAGAAGGCCTCTGAGGCAGGCTTGACCTGCCCTTTAATTAAATGCAGAATGCTGTGGAACTTTGCAATGGCTACTTCAATACATTTTATTAAAGTAAAACCTTATTTAAAACCCAGCTGCGTTATGTTTTTGGTTTTCTTCCTTCTTACCAATTAAACAATACTGTTCTCCACGTTCTATCCGCTCGTGCTCCATCTGGGAACGCTAGCAAACAGTGGGCGGCGCTGTCTCGAAACAGTACAAGCCTGAATCTGCAGCGGCCTGAGTCTGCGGTCTCCGGTCTGCAGGTGATACCCTCCTCCTGGAAGGAGACGTTTCTCCCGGAAGTAGATCAGCGTCGCCACTGAGCGAAACTTCTTCCGAACAGAGAGATAACGATGTTTTGCTGCAGCAGCGGAGGCTCGGAGCCGCTCTGCGGGTCTAGAACCGACATGCTGCGGTCCGTCGTCACCGAGAAGCTGACCACGGCCGCGCGGGAGATCTTCACGGCCGTGGAGAAGGTCGTCACCGACTACGAGGTGGAGGCTTCGGGCTTCAGGCAGCAGCTCGAGCACCAGAAGAGGCAGCTGGAGCTCCTGCAGCTTCGGGTCAAACCAAACAAAGGAGGTAGATTGAGCTCGTCGCGTGTTCAGAGTAAAGCGTACGTCAGGAAATGTTCAGTAAAGTTCTGGTTCGGGCCCGTTTGGGCCGAGCTTGTGAACAAGTGAGAGTCCAACATGTCTGACTGGTGTTTGTGTCCCGGGCGCGCGCCGGTTAGCAGGTGAATGTTTAAGCTAACGTCTCCTGGCGGTGCGATGGTCCTACTCGGGTTTTATTCGTCTTCACCGACGGTTTCATGTGATAAAATCCCGACAAAATGATGCGCTGGGACGTCCCTTGTTAGTCTGGGGATTTTCAAAATGAAAGCCTTCCGGTGTTTATCACGCCCAGAGGGGCTGGATGTTGAAATCTGCGTTAGAAAACCTGGAGGCTCCATCATTTTGCAGCAGAGATATGACCGTGTCTTCTTTCCATGTGTGTGAAAACCCGAAGCGCTGGTCCCAGATCTGTACAGCCATGAGGTGGTGGTGGTGAGCGAGGAAGAGGAGCAGCAGCAGCAGCTGACTCAACAGCCAGGTACTCTCGCAGCTCAGCCGCTGGAAAACAGCTTGTAGACCAGAGACCGGCTTTAGCTGCTTTGTTTCCAGGTGAGGAGGAAGCCGAGTGTCAGGACCCTCCACCTTGGACCAGCGATGATGAGGAAGGTGGAAAAGATAAACCGCTCACAGCGACCTCCAGACCAAACCAAGATGACCCGAAGGACCCAGACGGTCAGATCCCACCCAGGTGACGAGTCCTAGTAAAGTTCTCAACACAGTAATCAATGTGCTGCTATTAAAAGTCAATGGTGATGTTTTAGTGTATCGACTCTTTCTTACATCCTGCGGTTCCGTAGCGGCGGCGGCGACTCCGGGTCCAAGACCGACTCGCTGAGGGCCGTCATCAACGAGAAGCTGACCATAGCCACCTGGGAGATCCTGGCGGTGGTGGAGAGCGAGGCGGAGGCTTCGGGCCTCAGGCAGCAGGTGGACCGCCAGAGGAGGCAGCTGGAGCTCCTGCAGCCTCGGGTCACACTCCTCAGAGAAGGTCAGTGGGAGGCTGGAGGTGGTGCTGAGAGACTGTTCTGAAGATTTATTACTGACACGTGGAGGTAAACGTTTCATCTGACATGTCGTTTTATTGCGCTGGTCCCAGATCAGCGCAGCCATGAGGTGGTGGCTGCTGGTGAGGAAGAGGAGCAGCCAGGTATGTGTCAGCAGCTACAGCTAACATTTCTACAGCTGGAGACGGACTCAGATGTTTGTTCACATCAGAGATCAGAGACTAACTCTGGCTGTTTGGTGTCCAGGTGAGGAGGAAGCAGCAGAGAGCCTGGACCTGCCGCCTGTGACCACCAAGGAGGAAGAGGAGGAGGAGGGGAAACCGCTCAAGTCCATCTTCAGACCGAGTCAGAAAGACCTGGATGACCCGGACTACGACCCCAACCATGACACCCCGTCGAGGTCAGCGTCTCAAGGTTCTTCACACCGTGAACGGTCCACCTGACTTCCTTAGTTCTTATGTAAGGAACCCAGCAGGTTGCATCGAGTCACTGACTTGTGTCTGAGTCTGCAGCTGTCCACGTAGCGACAGTGGAGAGGAAAACCGTGTTCCAACTGCTTCCTGCTCCACGGATGTTCGAACGTGAACTGAAGAGTCTTCGAGACGTCGGTCCAGTCAGATCTGACCTGTTGTCCTCCTGCAGGTCGGGCTCCTCCAGACTCCACCCCGTCAGGAAGAGGCCCGGCAGACCCCGAATCAGTGATCGGCAGAACCATCTGAACCTGAGGATCTGGTTGCTGGAGGACCCGCGGATCGAGGTGCTCTGCAAGGCCGGTGGGTTTCCGAAGTCCTGCTGCGGGGTTCTGGACCCCTCGGGTCCACTTTCTAAACAGAACCAGAACCCGTTTGGTCAGACGGATAAACGTTTTCCTTCCTCTGTGCCAGTCTACAAAAGGAGTCCAGTCCAGAGTCTGAAGTGTCCTCGGGATCTGCAGGAGTCGGACTTCCTGGACCTGCTGAGGTCCACCTTCCCTCAGCTGGAGGACGGAGAACCTTTTGACATCTTCATGACGGACCAGAGCAGAAGGCTGCTGCCCCTGAGGGTCAAAGCCCTGACTCCAGAGGAGATCTACTCCACCATCAGGTCCACGGGGAAGCTGTCCATCTACATCCGTCTCAAGGTGTGTTGGACGGGTTCTGGGAACGGATGAGATGAACGGTGCTCTGGGTTCATCCTGCTTTAGTTCCTCTGAAGCTGCAGAAGAACCTGCCCTCAGTCGCAGTAAAGCCTGATGTTTTAAGGGAGAACCCAGAACATGTGACCTGATTTAAGGTGGTATTGTTTAACTCTGTTCTTTCAGAAAGGAGACGACGGTCCATCTTCGGACTCTTCGGTTCTGCAGAAGGATGCGGCTGGACCCGACCCCAGGTAGAACCTACTCATCAGGATGTTCGTACTCGTGCATCTCTAGAAAGCTCGGGTTCTCCGGATGACCGCGGTTGTGCTAATCTAGGGGACAACCACACCCGTAGACACGCTTTAACTCGGAAAGTAAAGTCTAACGCAGCGTTACGACCCTCATGCCAGAACAGAACCATCTGGAGCGTCCACAAGGGTCCAGCTACTGTCCTATAAGAGTTGGTCCACAGCAGGTCTTCTGTCCACAGTCCCACGCTGTAGAGCTACCGCTAACACGTCACAAAGCTGCTTCAGATGTTCTCACGCTAACGTCCATTAGCATCGTCGTAATGCTGGCCTCACACTCGTATGCAAATCCGTCATCTGTTTGGGTGATGTGTCAAAAGCTCCGCCCCCTTTCCCCATGTGTAGCTCGAACCAATCACAGCGCAGCATGTTGTTGATTGGTGCATCCCAGGGCCAATGAGAGTGCTGTGATTGGTGGATCGGCGCATGTCAGACCCGTGTCGCCCATCATCTTCTGTTGGACCAACGAATACGGACTAGAAAGCGTTTGGATGTCGTCTGACCTTCGGAGTGATGTGCTGTGAGTTTAACCCGACCTGACGCGGACCGGGAGGCGGCGTTAAAGCATCGAGTCGCAGAGCAAACTGGGTCAGTGGTAAAGGCGTGTTGCTGTTAGCCAATCAGAGACCAGATGTCCAACTATCAGGAAGTAAGACTCCCGTCATGTTCAGCCCTCCTCTGAGTCAGCAGACTTGTCCCCGCTCATCCGGACGTTTCTGGGGTTTTGTCCCTCGCCTGTACGCACTCCGCTGTCAGACTCGTCGTTGATGGCTGCCGCCATCTTCCAGGCGGCGCTCGCTTTGCTTCGTATGTGTGGTGTTACACTTCCTCTTCCATCATTGCTGCGCTTGGGGCGATGCGTTGCTAGGCAACGAGCACAGCTACGCTTGTATCCTCGTGAACGTGCACGATACGCCCAGGCGCAGCCGCGAGTGGTCCTGGTCTGACTTGGTGCACTCGGGTCGAACTCCAGTCCTTACGTCCGACTTGGCTAAGTCTGGCGCACGAGTTAGGACGAGCTTAAGCTAGGACCAGCTGGCGCTGCTTCGGTTGTAAGAAAGTACCAGTGAGACACGAAGCTTCAACGTATCTTCGTGTCTGTAAAACGTTTACCGTGTCCGGGTCCACACGACGCTGAAGAGCAGCAGGAAACAGGTTTCGTGTTCCTCTTCCAGCCTCGTCCACCATTAACAGAATGGGTGTTTTTGTCGTGCAGCTCGACATCAGAAGTGCCGGAGACCCCGGAGGCTGGAGCAGAGAGAGACGTGGACTCCAGCAACGACGGGAACCCTGAAGAGCAGAAGCTCCAACCACCCCAGAAGAAAAGGGCTAAAAGTGGCGTGAAGAAGAGCGAGGACACTAAAACGGCCTGCAAGGTGTGTGGAGTCTGGTACAGGTTCCTCGGGAGTCTGATCAAACACACCTGGAGTCACGTGGAGGAGCAGCGGGACGTGTGTGGAGTCTGCGGAGACAAGTCAGAGTCCGTGGAGGAGCTAAAGGAGCACCTGAAAAATCACCAGCCGGTCCACAGCTGCTCCCACTGTCCCAAGACGTTTGTGTCCATCGCCACGCTCAACCAGCACATCGCCAAGCACACAGGAAACAGTCTGTTCGTATGTGACGTCTGTGGAAAGGCCTTCACCAACCTGTCCGCCCTCAACCTGCATCGCTGGGTCCACGTGGAAAAGAAGCCTCACAAGTGTGAAGTCTGTCTGAAGACGTTCGGGGTGTTGTCGCAGCTGACGGCGCACAGGAAGGCGCACGACAGCGGAGACAAGTACCACTGCGACATCTGCAGCAAGTCTTTCAATCTGCGCCGATCTCTGACCCAGCACAGGCTGATCCACTCGGGGGAGCGGCTCTACAGCTGCAAAGTCTGCCAGAAGCACTTTAAACTGGAGGGCACGCTAAGGGCGCACATGGCAACCCACACGGTCAGAGACCGGGCTTTTCTCTGCCACGTCTGCTGCAAAACCTTCCTCTCCAGAACCACGCTGATGGCCCACATAAAGATCCACAGCAGCAACCGGCCCTTCGTGTGCAGCGTGTGCAGCAAGAGCTTCGTGGCCAAGGCGGAGCTGAAGAAACACACGCGGATCCACACCGGGGAGACGCCATACGAGTGCATGGACTGCGGGCGCTTCTTCAGACAAAAGGCCAACCTGGACAGCCACATGAAGATCCACTTAGGCATCAGGCAGTTCGTCTGTTCCATGTGTGGGAAGGAGTGTTCTCGGCGGGAACACCTGAAGGTCCACATGAGGACCCACAACGGAGAGAGACCCTACAAGTGTCCCCTGTGTGACAAAACCTTCACCCAGAGCCACTGTCTGAAAACCCACGCCAAGAGTCACCAGACTGAAGAAGTCCCGGTCCTGGATCCTCAGGAGACCCCCATCCAACCGAGTCTTGAACCCTGTCAGCCTGAGAGCAAGTGACAGACTCGACGTTCACGTCCGAGTTAGTTTACGTCATTAAGTCCGAGTTAGTTTACGTCATTAAGTCCGAGTTAGTTTACGTCATTAATTCCGAGTTAGTTTACGTCATTAAGTCCGAGTTAGTTTACGTCATTAAGTTTGTCTTTTTAAATTCAAATTGTTCAAATTTCAGTTTGTACCTGTAATGTTGGAAAGGCTAATTAAAGATCATAATATAATCGGTCCGTAGGTTGGATTCCTCCTGAAGGCCGAGGCACCGAGACTTTAAACAGAACCGTGCATTCAACACAATTCCTAATATTAGTTCATTTTTACCTTCCTTCCAGCTCTACAACTAACCTCGTCTTTGGTTCCAGGTGACATCGTGCTGTACTTGGCTAAACTTTTATTAAAATTATGTTTTAAACTCTTGTCCTTTCAATTTGTCTCGTTTGGCGTGAAGACGGGGTAATTTTGATTCATCGTTCGTGTTTGCTTACGGACGCCTTTACCGGTCGGACCAAAAGCCGGAAGTAGGTCGCTCCGCTTCCGACCAGCGTGTAGAATGATAAATGACCCGCACTTGTATAGCGCCTCTCAGAGTAAGGACTCCAAAGCGCTTTACAGTGTATCATTCATCCATTCACACACACATTCACACACTGATGGTGATGTGCTACAATGTAGCCACAGCTGCCCTGGGGCGCACTGACAGAGGCGAAGTTGTTTCTTTGCAGCAGCGGCGGCTCGGAGCCGCTCAGCGGGTCTAAAACCGATATTGTGAGAGCAAACATCACAGAGAAGCTGACCACAGCCGCCCAGGAGATCTTCGCGGTGGTGGAGAGGATTGTAACCGACTACGAGGCGGAGGCTTCAGGCTTCAGGCAGCAGGTGGACCGCCAGAGGAGGCAGCTGGAGCTAACATTTCTACAACTTGAGACGGATTCAGATGGAGCTTGATTATTAAGAGCTTTTTATGTGAGAAGGAGGATCTTAAAATCTATTCTGAATTTAACAGGTAGCCAATGTAGGGAAGCTAAGACAGGAGAGATATGATCTCTCTTTTTAATTCTCATCAGAACTCTAGCTGCAGCATTTTGGACAAGCTGAAGACTTTTAACTACATTCTGTGGACTTCCTGAGAGTAATGAATTACAGTAATCCAGTCTTGATGTAATAAATGCATGAACTAGTTCTTCAGCATCACTTCTGGAAAGGATGCTTCTAATCTTAGCAATATTCCAAAGGTGGAAAAAGGAAATCCTACAAACCTGTTTAACGTGGGATTTGAATGACATGTCCTGGTCGAAGAAAACACCATCCTGACTTTGTTTTCGGAGATTAATGTAATGCCATTCAGGTCAGGTGATTGACAATTTCCTTTTCTGGATTTCTGGTCCAAAAATGAGAACATCCAATTTTTTATGTCCTCAAGACTAGCCTGTAATCAATTAGGTTCATCAGGGTTAATGGATAAATATAACTGAGTATCGTCAGCATAAACGTGGAAGTTTATTCCATGCTGTCTAATGATTTTACCAATTGGGAGCATATATATAGTAAAAAGAATTGGTCCAAGCACTGAACCCTGTGGTACTCCACAAGTAACCCTGGAGTATGAAGAAGATTTGTCATGTACATTTACAAAATGAAATCTATCAGACAGGTATTTAAACCAGCCTAGCGCTGTTCCTTTGATCCCTACAACATGTTCAAGTCTTTCTAAAAGAACATCAAAGTCAAAGTCATTTATTGTCATTTTCTACCACATGTGCAGGACATACAGAGAAATGAAATTCAGTTTCAGCACACACAATTCAAAGATCAGACATACGTGGGTAAGACACATAACAAGAATTGGTGACTGCGGTCATTCGCAACATGAGTCGCGCTACCTTAAAAGATAGATGAAAAGGGTGTTACATGAGGATAAGTGGGGTTAGGTTAAAAAAAAGGCATAGCAGAGTTAGCCCCAGCGGGGAGTAACTCTGTTATACAAAAAAACTCCTTTCACATGGAAGCACAGACACAACATCAGAGTACGATGGTTGGGCGGGATCCTGAAGCCTCCAATGGGAGCTGCCACTGTGGCGCATCGACCAGCTGCAGACCAACAGGTGGGAGGGAGAGATAAGGAACAGAGAGCACATTGAAGTTCCTGCAGAAATGTCAGCCTGAAGGAAGAGGGTGAAGGTCGGGACACAGCATCTGTCGGCATTCCTCCTTTTGTGGGGGTGTGTTGAGGCAGCCTTGAGAGGCTGCTATGGCGTCAGATAAGGATAAATATGAATTTGTTTAGGGCAGGCAGAGATAATCTTCCTCTCCGCCTTGGAGGCTATAAGTGGTCATTCATGTCCACCAGTGAAGCCAATTTTACATTCCACATCCCCGCATCGTCCGGCGACCCTCTCCGAGATCAAATCCATCTTGCGCACTAACACAGGCAACGCCGCGAGGACATTGTCCAGCTTACGGTTCACCTCGAGTAACGTCCCAGTCTGTGAGGTCACCGCACAAGCGGCACATTCCGTGGGTACGGGTCGCACTCCAATCGCTCCCGTCTTCCCAAATTTCCAGAAAACCAGATATCCTCCCACTCCAATCAGAAGAAATCCAGTGATCATCAGGCCGAATATCCACAAATCTTCCACGTCCTCGATGGACAGCTGAGAGAGGCACACGATTCGCCAGACCTCCCAAGAATCGAGTGCATATCCCGATGCGAATGTCCCCTCGGGACAGGTGGGAGCCCCCTTCTCCGTTCTCATCGTAGAAAAAATTTTGTCAATCGCGTTGAATGACCAGTTAATTAAGTCCATATTTCCAAAAAAGAGTAGTGTTTCCGGAGAAATGCAGAGAAGTGCTCTGTAGGCAGACAGGACAAGAGCCTTGGGAAAGCCGATAAGGGAGATGAGAAAAAAGCGTCTGTACTCTCTGAAGGCTGAAGGGATCAACTGTGTCAAAGGCAGCACTGAGATCTAACAAGACTAGAGCAGACACAAGATTCTTATCTGAGGCCATGAGAATATCATTTTTATTTCTCACTAACGCAGTTTCAGTGCTGTGATACTCTCTAAAACCAGACTGAAATTCCTCAAACAGAGCATTAGTGTTTAAATGCTGACATACTTGGATGGCCACTATTTTCTCCAGGACTTTGGATAAAAATGGAAGGTTAGATATTGGTCTATAATTCATTGGGTCATCTGGATCCAGAGAAGGCTTCTTAAGTGAAGGTTTGATTACAGCAACCTTACAATCCTGTGGTACATATCCATTTACTAAGGATAGATTGATTATATCTAGAATGGGGGCAGTAACAAAAGGAAATGCATCTTTAAATAATTTGGTTGGGATTGGCTATAAAATGCAAGTTGAAGGCTTAGATGAAGCTAATATTTTTGATAACTCTGAAAGCTCAACTGGATAAAAACGGTTCAAACACAGATGAGGTTCTACAGTTACCTCTGATGCTGCCTCACTTACTGAGGAAGAAGAAATCACATTAGGGAGGATGCTAAAGATTTTGTTTCTAATAGAATTAATTTTACTTGTAAAAAATCCCATAAAGTTGTTGCTGCTGAGGGCTAAGGGAATGGGTGGTTCAGAGCTATGAGTCTGTGTAAGTTTGGCAACTGTACTGAAAAGAAATTTAGGATTATTCTTATTCTCAATTAACGCTGAGAAATAATCAGTTCTAGTTTGTCGAAGCTTATTTTTATAAAGCACAAGACTATTTTTCCAGGATAAGTAGGACTCCTCATGGTGCGTAGAGCGCCATGTTCTCTCCAATTTCCTAGAGTTTTGTTTAAAAGCTTGTAAATGAGAATTAAACCAGGGAGCCAACTTCCTGTCCCTAATTACCTTCTTTTTTAAAGGGGCAACATCATCTAATGCCACACGTAAAGAGGAAGTAACATTATGAACTAAGGCATCAATTTGTGAGGGGCTAGAAATGAAAATATTGCCCTCTGCTACATGCCTCTGAGATGCTGAGGACAGTAAAGATGGAACAGTTGATTTAAAAGATGCAACAGCGTTGTCAGATAGAGACCGACTATAGTGAAATGTACTTTCATGTCTCGAGAACTCAGTTATAAAAAAACTCAAAGGTTATCAGAAAGTGGTCCAAGAGGACTGGATTATGTGGAAAGATCGTTATTTCCTCACACTCTATGCCATAAGTCAGCACAAGGTCCAATGTATGATGGCAGGAGTGGGTGGAGCTATGTATTCTTTGAGTAAAACCAATTGAGTCTAAGATATTACTAAAGGCTACATTGAGGCTATCATTTTCAATGTCCACATGAATATTAAAATCCCCCACTACAATGACCTTCTCAGTATTTAGCACCAAATCAGATAAAAAAAAATCTGAGATCTGATCCAAAAACTCAGAGTAAGGGCCTGGTGGACGATATAAAACTACAAACAAGAGTGGTTTTACAGTTTTGCAATCTGGATAAGGAAAACTAAGAATAAGATGTTCAAACAAACTGTAGCTATTAATTGGTAAGGGACTGATTAATTAATCAGAATGAAAAATGGTTGCTACTCCTCCTCCTCCTCGCCCTGTACGTCGAGCAATATGATGATTTAAATAATTATAAGGGGTTGACTTGTTTAAACTAACATAGTCCTCTTGCTGCTGCCAGGATTCTGTGAGAGAGAGCAAAGAAATATGATTATCACCAATAAAGTCATTAACAAAGTCTTGGAAAAAATAGACCTAATGTTCAATAGCCCACTTTTAATTTTTCTAATTTTCTGCTCAGTTGAATTTGTTCTAATATTTTTGAGATTTCCATGGTTTGCTTTATTAAGCCTGATATTTAATCTGTGTGATTTTGGCCGTGAGCAGGACACTGTCTCCAAGGCAGTGTTAATTTTGTTGACAAAATATTTTCGTCTTTTTTCGTCACGAAAATATATTTACAGACGAAAATTAAACAAAATTTCAAAATAAAAGCTTGGAAAAAGATGAAGACAGTAATTAAATTGATTGACAATTTTAGTCAACGAATGAAAGACGAGACGAAAATCCACAATGACGAATATCCAATCAGAAGACTGGAAACACGCATGACGCAAATAAAAGGACCAATGAACAAACTGAACAGGCGGGACTAGGTGAGAAGAGAACCAGAGTCCGCTTTGTTTAGAGGTGACGCTAGGCCTACCATTTTAAATCAGCTCCCGGCGGGAGCCAAGCTCACTGAATATATGGACGGCACGAGAAGAAGGAGTAGAGGAAAATGTTAACAGCTGGGCGAAAAAGAAGAGAAGATGTGTGGAGTCATTTTTCTTATGATAGCATTGAAACCAAAACTCTGTGCCGAGAGTGTGGACTGTCCTTCAGAAGAAAGAACACAACAAATCTGAAGAGGCATCTACAGAATGGCCATTTCGCCATTTTCAGTGTTGGGA